ATAGAGTGGTTAGACACTTTAAAAATGTTCTCTTATCTTTTAGGTTGAGTGTATGCAGAGGAAACAAGTGAGAGGCTTAAGGAGAGTTGACAATTGCATAAAACATGCTTTATGGGAATGGAAGTGTTAACTTTGTGCCAAAAATGGAATGATGCATTGGAAAAAGCTTCTAATCCTTGTGTAATGGCTCAAGATTTTGTGTAATCTTCTGATTATGGATAGATTTAGGAGTTTAAAGGCCTACAAAGTGATATTTCTAAGCATGGCATGAGATTTGGTCACGAGTTCATCACAAAAATGACCTATAATTCAAGAATGAAATGCTAACTTCAACTCTTCGAATCTCCCAGCTCATGTATGATCTTTTCACGCTCTTGGACATTTTGGAAAGCTTGAATTAAGATCTTATACTTTCATGTTGACCATTTTGGCTAAAACAAAAGGGAAATTGGTGAAAATTTGCCAAGAAGTTGAGATAAAAAACTGATCAAAACTTTGTTGAGATTTTTTCTAAGTGTTAGATAAAAATATCACAACTTCCTGGGTTCATATCTCTTAATTTAAGCACTTTTCAGAGATCAACCCTCATTAATAAATTTGTAGAATTAATCAATCCCTACAAATTTCATTTTGAAAGTTTTCTTTGAATCAACTTGGATCTTAGTGAGCAATAGGCATGAAGTAGTGACTTTGTTAAGAACAAAACACTTAGAGTTTTTTTCAAAGTGTTGGAAAATTTTCCAACTTTTGACTTTTGTTGACTTCTTTGGATTCTTGATGACAAAGTTTGATAGTTTTGAATTTTTTGATGATTCTTGATTTTTGAATTCCAATGTTGACCCAAAAGTCCAATGTTCAATCAAAACCCAAATTTGGCAATTTTTGATCTTTGATGATTTAAGGGATTTCCTTGAGAAATCATGATCAACCCTTGATAAAATGATGAATATCACTTCAGAATGTTGATGTTGACCAAAAATCTTGAAGTTTGACTGTATGTTGACCATACTTGACTTTTTACTCAATACAGTTGATTTTCAATCATATGAGCAATTGACCGAGCAAACATGTGATGCAAGACTTGAAACTTGACATAAGAATTATTGAGGAATTATGATGAACCATGAAATTTATTTGAAACCCTTGCAACCCAATCTTCTTTGGGAAGCACCAAACCCTTGTTGAAGACCCTTGCTTAGGAGGAGGTTTGACCAGTCAACTCTTGAGTGGCTTTGAGTATTTGAGACCTTTGTGAGCATGTTTTTTTGAAGAAAATGGGAGGACAAATTTTGGGGTACAACAGATGCCCCTGTTCAATCTTCTTAAACCTGAAGAGTTAGATTGACATGTCCTCCATTCGTGAATTAAAGGTGGAAGATGATTGAACACTTAAGTGCCCAGAAATTTGCACTCGCCGGTGCACGAAGTAACGCTGTTGGTTGATTATACCGGAAATGGGCTTAAAGATGCCATTTGGAGAGGTAATGATGAGTCAACAGAGATGGGCTTATAGATTCCATCCAAAGTAACTGTTGATAGAAATTAGACTAAGTCTACGCTCGACTTCAATTGGAAGAAGTATCAGAATAAATCTACGATTGATTTAATCTGGGCTAGAAAATGTCTACTGGGAGAAGTATCAAAATAAATCTATGGTTGATTTAATCTGAGCCAGAAAATGTCTACTGGAAGGAGTATCAGAATAAATCTACACTCGATTTAATCTGAGCCAGAAGAAGTCTTTTTGTCTTTAACTGGAAGAAGTATCAGAATAAATTTATGGTTGATTTAAGCTGAGCCAAAAGATGTTTATGCCTGTCTTTAACTGGAAGAAGTATCAGAATAAATCCACACTCAATTTAATCTGAGCCAGAAGAGGTCTTTTTGTCTTTAACTGAAAGAAGTATTAGAAAAAATCTATGGTTGATTTAATCTGAGCTAGAAAATGTCTAATGGAAGTAGTATCAGAATAAATGGTCGATTTAAACTGAGCCAAAAGATGTTTGCGTCCATCTTTAATTAGAAGAAGTATCAGAATAAATTTATGGTTGATTTAATCTGAGCTAGAAAATGTCTACTGGAAGAAGTATCAGAACAAATCTACGCTTGATTTAATCTGAGCCACAAGAAGTCTATTTGAGAATGACCTTTTGAGGAAATTAATGAAATAGCCCTTTGTCAGATGTAGCCTTGGAGAAGAATGTCGGGTCATATAAGTAGTTGATGATGCTTGTATGTTGATTGATCTTTCCTAAAAAGGGAAAGTGTTAGCTGTATGCAATGTTATGATGTATGAAATGCATTGCATAATGATGTTCTCAAAATAAATGAGAATGTGCTATATGTGTTTCGTATGCATATGCTATGATATTGGTAAATGATGATTGTGAAATGTTGTTGGAAGTGTATCAAAAGTTCCGTATGACATCTTGCTGGGGGAAATGAATCCTTGACTGATGATGGGGATGAAGAACATGTGTAATCTTCAACCTTGTCTAGAATGCTTCTGCTTGGGATTCCTGCTTTCTGTTGAAACAACCGGCTGAAAATCATCCGCAGTGAAGTCGCCAGCTAAAACAATCGACTGAAAATCATCAAACAATGAAGTTTCCATTGAACGTCTTTTACCCCACATGGAGGAATAGGTAAACATCGAGAAAACCTGAGAAGGGAGAAGTCACGGTCTTGTGATTGATAGATCGGGTAAGGGAGTTTGTTACGCGAGGGGAAGGTATTAGCACCCCACACGCCCGTAGTACTCTATGATATCCACTCTTGTTATCTATCTTATGGGTTTAAACTATACTTACTGTTTACTACTGAGGAAGAATGCATGCAAAAGAAAGGAGAAAATAATGTAGGGAAAATAAATTTGTACTCGCTTGGGCCCTACCCCAATGCCTATGTATTCTTTTTGAAGAATCAGAGTTACCGTAGTTCGACTCACATGTTTTGTTTGTTTTGTGTTTTTTATGAACAATGTTAATCCCGCCTTTTGCCACAGCTCGACCTTTTGAGACTCACGCGTTGGCACAAAAGTAAATTAGCCACGTCCTTACTTGAAAAAGGTTTCTAGTTACGCCCTCGAGGCAAGATTCCACATTTGATTGGTTTTTATTTTGTTACCTTGAAAAGGGGTTTAAGTTGTTAGCGTATTTTATGATTTGCTAAGGAAAAGGTTTTAGTTTTAAATGCATATGCAAGCGGGGAAGAAAAGAGTTTACGGGGGACTAGCGTATTTCTAACCTAATATTATCATACAATGGTAGTCCTAAGGTTTGGATTAACAAAAGGGAAACGTCTACCTAATGTTAGCATACATGGCTTGCAACCTAAAGTATAACTTGCATCCAAAAGGATAAGCATATCCTAAGGGAACATGGTATGTACAAGGATAAAACAAACTAGCTCGAAATAACACACACATAAAAGAGTAAGGAAAATAAGCAAAATGCTTTCGCCAAGGGGAGCGTATCACCCGAGACAAACAAGCGGGAGTAGGATGTAATATAAAAATGTGATGTCCAAAGCGATTGAACACCTAACCAAGATATAGGAGATCGAGGTAGGTAACAGACGACAATATGAATAATCACAGAGTATCAGCATCAGCAAATGTGAACTCCTGACAAAGCGCGGGGGTTCAATTGCGAAACTCTTTCCCACTTGATGACTCGATACACAAGAACAGGCACAACTCCGAAGTATCATGGTGCGTCACGAGCTAAGGATGACACGAACGAAATTGTGGGGGTTGATTGTAAACCCTCCCCGCTCACCTCCTTTTGAGGACTTCAATAAGGGATGGGATAATAATGCGGGCACAAATATAAACACATCTGCAAAATACTTGCACAAAGGTAGGGTTTTAAACAAACCACAACACAAGTAGCAAACAAAATGCACACAATGCGGAATTGTCCTAAACGGGTATTTAAATAAACCAGAGGGATTTCTGACATGATCAGCAATGGAGATCCCCTTCATACATCTCTACCCTACTTCTCATGGCATTATAAAGAAATAAAGCCCTACTTCTCATGATATCTAGAAAAGCGGTAAAGAAGTATGACAAAGTACGGAAGTGAGGAATAAAATGAAGTCTCGATGATACCTAACGGAGAAGGTCCGTTGCCTCTTCAAAACCACGTAAGCAATAAGAAAACTCTACAGAAGCTGCTTTTCACAAGTGATCAAACGAATTAATCTCCAAGCATTCCACATCACAAAAGTTGCATTAATACTATCACAAAGCTAGCAAATCTCAGGAGCATTTGATGAAACATAAAGCATATTTTTATCTTTTTTTATAAGACTTTCTAAAGCTCTTTAACCAAATACATACCAAAAGAATGTAAAAGTGATTAACATTGATGAAAGAATATCAAAAGAATTAAGAAAAGGATTCTCCAATTAAATTCTAAAGCGACTAATATTCTAATTAATGTATCACTAATTAACTATCAAAATAAATGGCAAGAAAAATTAATAGAAAATAAATCACTTAAAAATGTTCACAGAGGGGTGTATATTTTAATCCAAATGCTGATTAGCAGGCCCCAACGTCATAGCCCAACAAGAATGATGCACCAGGTTATTGTGTTTGCAATGCTATCAAGCTGCAAAAACTAACATACGAGCCTATGGAGTTGGAGTATGCAGCTTGGCCCAAGAGGTCCTCACTTTCAATCCAACATCAACATTAACTCCAATCCTCTATTGATTATTATCTATTCAAGATGAATTAAAACAAGAATTATCTATACAAAAAAACGAAAAAAAACCAAAATATAAAAGGGATTAGGGTTCCAAATTTTGTGGCCATTGGACACCCATGAGAAAACTCATTCTCGTCCATTCATTAACAAACGGCACCGACGGCTTGTTTTGCTTCCTCGAATACTTCTGCCACCGTACCACCTCTCTGTTCACTGCTTTGTGTTCATTACCTCTCCGATCGGTGTGGATCACTTGTCGTAAAATCCCCATTCGCCATAGCTATGTTCTTCTTCTTCTTCTCACCAGGATTTGCTTTTTATCAGACCTCCGCTTCATCTTCATCGCTCACTTCCATCTCACTCATTCGCGTCGAGGTCTAATGCATTTCAGTCGTAGTTTCATCTCAACTTCTATTCATGATTCTTTGATTTAGATTCAGGTACTCTTAACTTTGAATTTGTGTAAATATTCTGTCTTCTACATTTTTGTGTTCTTCTACATTCAGTCGTGATGTTGATTGTTGAGTAAGTGATTCGATATCGATGCGGTTGCGAGATCGAGAAGTAGTGATTATGAAGATTGAAGGAGTCGCAGTTTGTAGAAGATTGTAGAGAAGATGAAATGTGATGTAAGGTTATTGATTCCGTTTATTAAGGTTGAAGTAGTTGTAAACGAAGGTGGATTTCTGGTGTGATTCTTCAAGAGGTTGTGAAGAATGTGCAGAGAATTTGAAGTTTGAAGTAGAAGATGAAGTGCAGAGATTTTGTGTGAAGATTGGAGTAGAAGATGAAGTTGTGAGAATGAATCTCTGAGATGTGAATGAATCTGTTATATTCCGTTGAAATTTTTTCTGGTGAGTTTCCTATAACTGATTTTCCTCTCTATTTTTCTATATGAATTCATCGTATCCCCTTTTATCTATTATGAATTCCGTTATATCTCTCTTGGAAGTATTTGTTAGAAGTTGGTTAGAGGTTGTTAGAGGAATGTTTTGGATCTGTTTTTGATAGTTTGCAGGGCTGTTTAGAGGTTGGAAACTATTAGAGAAAAATAGTTAAGGGTTAGGAAGTTTGAATTCTGTTTTGGAAGTTATAGGCATTTAGGAAATGTTTTGGAATTTAGTTTGATTTGTTATAGGTAGTTAGAAACAGTTGGGTTAGTAATTCTGTTTAGTTATTTTTTTGCTGGAAGTTTTTCTGTTAGAAGCCATCATTTGGAATTCGGTTAGAATTCTATTAGGATAGTTTGTTGGTTGAGTTAGAGGCAGTTACAGATATGGGTGTTCAAAACCAAATTGGTCCAATAGAAAACCGCAAAACCGAACCGAACCAAACCAAAACTGCAAAAAAATGCATTTGGTTCGGATGTGTTTGGATCATTTTCTAACGGAACCGTGCGGTTTGGTTTGGTTTGCGGTTTACATTTTGCAAACCGAACCAAACATAACAAAACCGCATTATGTTATAAAATCTTACTAACCAATATATATTTCTTTAATTCTTTAAAGAAATCAACATGTATTATGTGTATATTTTATCATACTTTGTATGATATTTATTTTAATTTACAAATCATAAAAAAATAAAATATGATTCATTTATAAATATTATTTTCACAAAATATATTTTATCATATTCTTTAAATAATATTTATTTAAGAACGTAATCTTGTCTATATCATTCTTTAGATTTAGATCAAACTACAATACACAATTTTATGTATCAAATTATAAAATTATTTTGACAATTATAAATTCTATTATGGTAATGTGTGAACAATTAAACATAAAATTATATTTTCCATTATATGTGTATGTATGGCTTAGTAATTTTTTAGTAAAAAACCGAACCAACCGAACCAATCCAAACCGCATTAGTTTGGTTTGGTTTAGTTAAGATTTATTTTTAGAAGCCAACCGAACCAAACCGAACCGCATGTTTTTTTCTCTTGCGGTTCAGGTGATTTTTTGCTTCAAAACTGCCCAAACCGCACCGCGAACACCCCTAGTTACAGATGGTTGGGAAGAGGTTAAAAACTATTAGAAAATTCTGCTAAAAGCAGTTAAAGAATTTTTTTAACCTTTCTTTTATGAGTTTGTAATGTGCGGGGTTGCGGTTTATGTTTATATGCGGAGTTGGTTTATGAACATTTTGAACAATTTGGTGGGTTGAATCTGTTTTTTTATTAGCAGGGCTGCTTTTCTGATTTTTGTTTGAATGATCTGGAAAGTAGCTAATTTGGTTAGAGTTCTGTTTTTATGTTATAGGTGGTTATGAAGTTGGTTTGTTGCATTCTGTTATAGAGGTTTCGGTTAGGACTGTTCTGAAAGTTTTTGAAGTTTTTGTGATGAATAATGAATCTTGTATATCTACTCTCCCTAAGTTTCTTTTGTGAATAATGAATCATGGGAAAAAATGGAATCCCCTTGAATCTCTTAGAAAACTATGTTATATGGCTTCAGAGTTTGTTGGAAATTCTATTAGAGATTGGTTGAAACAGTCAGGGTTAGTTACAAAAATTTTGTTGCCCGCTGGTAGGGATTAGAAAGTTAATGAATTGAGTTTTATATAATTCTGCAATTTCTTCTGATTTGTATTGATGAAACCTTCCTGTGACATGTATTCTGTTTTTCCACTTTTCTGTTAGGAAGCTGGCCGAAAATCTTCTATTATTTTTTTGTTTTCAAATGATGCAAGACTGTCTCGGTTTTGATGTATGTTGCAGGGCACGATTTAGATGCTTGCAGGTTGTGTATATCAGGATTGGAACAAGGCAACATTTCTTAATGTGAAGTGCAGCAAGTTTTAGCGTGAAAAGTGGGACAAGGCTAAGACATGGAATGAAGAGAGATTGGTTTTACATAGGCTTAGGAAGAAAACTGCAAGATAGTCTAAAAGGGATTTGGAGAAAAAAGATGAACATTATATTTTAGGCTTAGAAACAAGATTTGATGTATGTGAAATAGTTCGAACTTGTAATGGTCTTTGGATGTAACCAAATTTGATTAAAAAATTTCTTGATTTAAAATTAGAATAGACTTGTCAACTTGCTTGAATTTTGAACGTATTCTGAATGACTCCATACTATTGAATGCTTAAACAACTTCCATCTTTAGACTATGTACCCATTTACCAACCTTGAATCAAAATAAAACTTGAATGTACATTGAATTAACATGCCTTGAAAATTTGAGTTAAATCTTATGACTTATTCTTTGATTTCAAAATAAACCATGAATGGATTATTTGTATTTTAAAATCTTTACAAGTCCGCAATTCCAGATCTCAATGACAAATTCAAATCACATTGAGCCCTTAACTTCCAATTCCAAATCATCATTCAATCCACAAGCCCTTGACTTGATAACCAATACCACATGAATGGCATGAAGAACCCTAGAGAAATGAATATGGAAATATATATGACCAAGATAACTTTGACATGAGAACTCAGTTAATGGGTATTGCAAGCTCAGAACTCCATGAATAAGAAACCACAATCCTCTTGACTTGGGTACCTTGTAGCTTGATGGGGGAGAACTTCACAATAATTCTTAAACAAGCAACCCTAGCCTTCAACCAATGATTGATGGAGGAACCCATAGAAACAAGCTTGAATGAAGGTTAAAGCCTCAAAGTAAAAAATCCTAGCTTCAAGATCCTCGATCACATGCCCATTTGATTGATTAATGATGCATGATGTTGTTAAATTACCTAATGGAAGTTATGTACATGAGTAAAATGCGAGATGCGTAAGCCAGATAAAAGTGAGAGGGTTGGACAAATTTGGGGTATTACAACTGCCCCTATTTAATCGTCTTAAACCTGAAAGTATGATTGGCGTCTGCCTTTCCAAAGTTCGAGGTAGAAGATAATTAAATCAATGCAAAAAATATGTTCTGGGAGAAAGTGTGAGTGTTTATTTATTATTTTTTTTTGTGATATGTGCTGGGGATAAAATTTCTTGTTTTTGGTGAAAAGGGTTTATGGATGAACCTGGAAGGTGATTGCTCGTAACATGGCAACAATGCTGAAATGGGGTTTAGAAACCGATACAAAGAGTACTTGAAAACTGACACGACGAGCATTTAGAAGTTGATGATGACGAGTGTTTAGAAATTGACACGACGAGTGTTTAGAAATTGACACGACAAGTGTTTAGAAGATGACATGAAGAGTGTCTAGAAATTGACACGATGAGTGTTTACAAGATGACACGACGAGTGTTCAGAAGCTAACACGACGAGTGTCGGAAGGTAGCATGATGTCAAGACAAGGACAAAGAAGACTTGTAACGTGGCGTGATGCCAATACAAGGAAGAGATCAAACTTGTAACATAGTGTGATACTAATACAAGGAAGAGATCGCACTTGTAACATAGCATGATGCCAATACAAGGAAGAGATCAGACGTGTAACGTAGTATGATGCCAAAACAAGAAAGAGGTCGGACTTGTAATGTAGCGTGATGCCAATACAAGGAAGAGACCAGACTCATAATGTAGCATGATGCCAATACAAGGAAGAGATCGAACTTGTAACGCAGCATGATGCCAATACAAGGAAGAGATCGAACTTGTAATGTAGTGTGATGCCAATATAAGGAAGAGATTGGACTCGTAATGTAGCATGATGCCAATACAATGAAGAGATCAGACTTGTAACGCAGTGAGATGCCAATACAAGGAAGAGATCGGACTTGTAACGTAGCATGATGACAATACAAGGAAGAGATCGGGCTTGTAACATAGTGTGATGCAAATACAAGGAAGAGATCGGACTTGTAATGTAGAGTGATGCCAATACAAGGAAGAGATCGGACTTGTAACTTAGCATGATGCCAATACAAGGAAGATATCATACTTGTAACATAGCGTGGTGCCAATACAAGGAAGAGATTAGACTTGTAACGTAGCGTGATGCTAATACAAGGAAGAGGTAACACTGGTAACATAGCATGATGCCTATACAAGGAAGTGATCAGACTTGTAACATAGTGTGATGCCAATACAAGGAAGAGATCAGACTTGTAACACAACGTGATGCCAATACAAGGAAGAGATCGGACTTGTAACGTAGCATGATGTCAACACAAGGAAGAGATCAGACTTATAATGTAGCGTGATACCAATACAAGGAAGAGATCGGAATTGTAACATAGCATGATGCCAATACAAGGAAGAGATCAGACTTTGTAACGTAGCATGATGCCAATACAAGACATATATCGGACTTTTAATGTAGCATGATGCCAATACAAGGAAAGGATAACACAAACGAGTGTTTGAATCAATACGAACCAGTATCGAAAGAAGATACATACGATTATCAAGAAAAGGTTTAAACACGAACGAGTGTTTGAATCAATACAGACGGGTATTGAAAGAAGATATGGACGGGTATCAAGGAAAGATTTAACATGGATGATCGTTTAAATCAATACAGACGGGTATTAAAAGAAGATATGGACGGGTATCAAGGAAAGATTTAACACGAACGAGTGTTTGAATAAATATGGACAAGTATCGAAAGAAGATACAAAAGAGTATCAAGGAAGGTTTAAAACATGGATGAGTGTTGGCAGCTAACATAGACGAGTGTTGGAATTTGAATTATTTGTCAGACGGGAACCGACTACCAAACGAGAACTGGGATTTGAATTGATTATCAGACGGGAACTGACTACTAGACGGGAACTGGGTTTAAAATCGATCGTCAGATGGGACCTGACTACCAGATGGGAACTGGGTTTAGAATGATAAGGTGTATTAATGTTATTGGGAATTCAATGGTGGAAGGTACTGGCACTGTTA